GATACTAAGTAGATTCTTCTTAGGTAATGTTGGAGGACCCAAAGGAAGAAAAGCACAGTGACCGTAATCTCAATCTGACACACTGCACAAGATAAAGGAGATAAAGGGGGTAGTAAAGAGTGAAGCATTTGCCAATGATAACAGAATAAGGAGCAGGCAGACTATGCTCTGTTAGGAAATAGGCTATTGAATCTCTTAAATAGCTTTAATTGCTTTCATTATTGAGCCAATCAAGTCAAACTAAAATTATCTGAGTAACAAGGTTAATGCCATGCAATTTAGTAGTAGCTCTCCAGGTTCCAATGACATAAATTACTTTCAGTTTATTATATTTACTGCCTCAACAAAGTTGAGCAATCCTACAAATTTTCCCCATAATCCATAATGGACCCTCGGGGACAACTCCTAGCAGAAAAACTACAAGTACTAGGCATTTAAATACATTATTAAACCTCACAGCAACCTTACAAGGTAATTATCTGCCCTCTGTTACAGAAAAAACTGAAGAATATTTGAGGTGACACTGGTAAATTGCTTTATTGGGTAGAATAGGCTTCCACCTGTTCTGAATGATCTTTATGATATTTTACAATTCAGAAGAGAGGTGACAAGAGCTACTTCTCTTCAAATCTACTCCTGAGCCACAGGAGTAGGTGAGGATATTTACTATCTCCTCTATATCTATGACGTGGGGTTACACACATTACCATTTCCAAACACCACCTGAGAGCACCCTTTGTAGAGGACCCAGCACAGTCCTGCCTTTGATGGGGTGGCAGCCTAGTTGGGGAAGAAAGGCTTTTCTCCAAATCTGGCTTTTCCCAGATTACTTATGATTAGGGAAGACTTCCTTGGTGATGTGAAAACTGAGTGCAGCCAACAAAGCAATTCCTTTTTTCCTGTTTTCCTTATGTTTAACTTACTGTAGAAGACCATTTAACTCACCCAGGTAAACACAGTTGTTCTCCAGAATGTTTGATAGGTGTTGCTTTCAAATTATATAATTTCATGGGGGAAGAGATGGATTGCACGGCTTCCTACATGACTGACTTTCTTGGTACCAACGCTAGAGAAGGGGATGACCATTATTCCACCATGTCAACATTGTAGGAAACAGGAGGAAAGGAAGGGAGTCTAAAGCCTCATAGGCCCTTCCTAAGAGACAAAAGAGGCTTGGAGGTGTACAACGTGGCTGAATCCAGGAAATGCAAGTCCATACTAGGAATGTGCTACAATACCCTCGTAAGGGGACTTTTGATAAGACAAAGCCCCACAGACTATGTAATCCTACACATAATTACAGTGGACAGGGAAAAGGAATATAAACTCTGTAGGAAAATCATGATTTTTCTTCCCTCTTTCTCTAGTTGTCATTCCTGAAAGAAGTTTACAAAAACATCCTGAGATTAAAGCCCAAGGTTGAGGGGAGGGAGGACACTTGGTTTTGGAGGAGCGTTAGTTTAGATAGAGCAGGCTGCTCAGAAATACTGTCCAATCACAGGGCTCAGTCTTGGCTGTAGACTGCAGTTTAGATTTTAGATTCTCTGACACTAAAAATAATGTCTCTTGCCATGAAATAAGTCAAAGACAGTTACATTTTCCTGTCTATGGAGAGAAATGTTACCCTCCTAGGTTAAGGCGGGTGTCCTGGCTCAGGCGAAGGTTATATCCTTGACAGCCAAGAACATAAAATAAATGCTGCAGGTATGCAGAAAACATGCATCATGCAAACAAGGGCTGCCACTGCCTCGCCACCTCCTTTTCAGCCGGCCCAGCCTCCTAGTCCCCTTTCTTGGGCTGAGCTGAGAAGTGCCACGGATGAAATGGGAGATCCGTGCGGCTCCTCAAGCGCTCAGAGGAGCCCGGCCGGCAGCCTCCGGGGATGGGGCGCCCCGCAGCCGGGATACGCTGGGAGACTGCCCGTGCCTGCTTCTGCTTTTAAGGTGGCTGCATTCCCCGGAATCAGAGCCTGCTTTTCCAGAGCTTTCGGAAAACATTTAACTCACTCTCTGCCGGCCGCTATGGGAGAACGACAGTGCGGGAGCGGTGGTTTATCGAATACTGAAGGGTTTGTTTTTTCACGTTGCAAACCAAGAAAGGAGGGGATATTTAGGACAGGCAAAGGTTTAAACGGCTGTCAAATTCTATCCCAGAACTTCGCCTTTTCCGTCACAAACGCAGACGAGAGAGACAGATCTAGCCCGCTACCAGCAAGCCGGGGGCGAATGCGATACCCTGAAAATGCCCGACTGGGCCACCTTGAAAACCGATAGCCTCTCTGCACTAGAAAAACATGCGTTCTCAGGGAACACAGCCGGGAAATCTTGCTTCCCCTTCAAATATGGCTTAAGAGGAGGAAGAGAAGCAGCGCGGGGCTGCGCCTCACCATTTGCTGTGCACCCCGGAAAATCGCGTCCAGCATCATCAGCTTCCAGGGATCGGACACGGAGCTGGGCAGCGGGATGTAGACGTAATAGGCGGCCAGCGCCACCAGGGCGGTGAGCAGCACGCAGGACGACCTCATCCTCCCCCGGCTCGCTCGGCTCGCCCGCGGGCTGGCGAGAAGGAAAGGACGATGCCACCCGAAGACCTCCTGCAAGTTGCTGCCAGCGGCAGCTGCTCATTTACGCGTTTCTTACAAGCCCAGGAGCCAATCGGAGGCGGCGTCGGGAGGAAGTTGGAGGGCTGACGTGCCCCTCTACGGTGTCCTTGCAAAGTGTTGCAGACGCTCCAGGTCTGGGGAAGCTCGGGCGCTGCGCTGGGCTTTGCACAGCGGCCTCTGGAGGACGCCGGTTGGTACTGCACGCCTGTGACGATGGGCTTCCTCCGGAAGGTTTTTCAAGCAGAAAACCAGAATAGTTTCAGTGTGACGAGTCTCTGGCCAAAGCATGTGAGTCATTCTGACTCAAAATGGAGATACTATTGAGAAAGGTAATAAAAACTCTCTGCTCTCCAGAGCCAGACTTGCAATGGTATGTAAGTTCTAGCCGACATATGGTGGAAGAAGGTATTATTATTATTTCTTTTTAGCTCAAGCAATGACATGCCAGAAATACGTCTAGCATTCAAGTCTTCATTTCCAAATTCCATTCTCCAAAAAGAGGAACCACTGCTGTTTGCCACTGTCCCTTGGAGAAAAGGCTGATTCCAGGGCTGGGGCAGGAAAATTATAAGATAAGGCTTTTGCGTCAAAGATGAGGAAGCGCTCAAAAAATAATGGGGACTAGTGACAAGGACACAGGTGGCAGGCAGCTCGAAGCGTCTCCCAATGGCTAGAGCTGGGATAATTATACGGTCAGTATGAATCCTAATACTGGATTATAAATCATTGAATGAAATAAAAACCCAGGAAATCTGTACTAACAGAAGTGCATAAATAAAGAAAGAAAGAAGAAAGGCTTTCCTTACGATAGAATGCCAACTAATAATCATAGAAAATTATAAATGAAGCTAAGGCTAGTGGGTAAAAATTTGACAAGGAATTTTAGTTCCTCATCAGAAGATCTCACCACAAATTATCAATTACGAACGGGAAAATAATAACTTTTTCATGTACACCACCTGAAAAATTTCTTTCAGTGAATCAATGGTAGCAGAAAATGCATTCAAATTAAGTTTTCCTGTTAAAGATTGGGGGGGGGCGGGGGATAAGGGAGGACAAAATGGGAGAGAGAAAACTAGCAGAATTACAATCAGAAATCCAGAAGAAAAACATGTAGAACTGTTTCAAGGAGGTGGTAGGAGATTATCCAAACTTACTGATCAAGGCTTTAGAACATCTGCTACATAATGTAGTAATTTAAATTTGGTCTAATCCACAGAAATGAAATATCCATAAATTTGGGTCTGATGATAAGATTAGGAGATAGTTGATTTCCTCTTCAAAGTTGGAGGAAAACATTGGCATGAAGGACACACTTCAGTGGTGTTTCAAGCATAAGTTTGAGATCATTGTTTTCTCATTTTATAAAAGTTATTGGTTAAACATATAACTCTAGACAGATAGGGATTCGTGTGTTTGTATGTGAGTGTGTGTGCATTAAATTAGAAGCTAATCTTTATGAGTCATTAGAAATAATCCTGGAGATATAAACCAAGCTGACTACTGGATTTAGTTACATTACTTGCTTTCAGGTAACTTGAAAAATAAGTCAAAGTTTTACCTTGGAGACATTAATATTTTTCTCCTGGATTTTGACTATGTATTCATAAAAACATAGATCTTAGAGCTAATGACAAAACTAAACCAAACCAAAA